GATTTTTTTGGTGAGAAAAACATCACTTTCGTAATCCAAATATCAAACCGTTCTTGGACACGTATGTTTTTATGTTGCAAGTGTATGGTAAAGAGTCATGGACAGTCATGAATGAATGCAATCTGGACCACACAATCTGAAGTGCTGCGATCTAACGGCTCAGATTAATCCAATCAATTGGTGCACCTATTCACTTGAACCATTTGAAATCTATAAATAGAGATCATCCCTTGTTCCATAAATCCTACACCAAATCAATTAAACATAAATTGATTTCTAATTCTCTCCCCCCTTTAAATAAATTATGATTCTTTTATTTTGCTTAAATAAATCTATCTCAACTATATTTTAGAAATAAAATTTCGTCTAAACGATTTTAAGCTCAAGTCCATTTTGTTCGAGAATAATACCATCAACATTTTGGTTCAATCGGCAAGGTTAGTACAGTGCCATACTGAATTTGAAATATGCATTGTATCTTGAGAGACAAACTTCCGATAATCATGTTGGTACCTGTGCGGGGGACGAAATATGTTTTAAAGAGATTTGCTGCGGTAAACTTCTCTTCATCTCCATTCTGCTTTTTCTTTCTTTTGATTCTACGAGTCATTAATTTTGATAACAAACCTTAAGAAACAAATCTCAACAATTTTAGATACACATCCTCTCTTTTCAAAATTACATAAACCTCTTTTATTTTATGTTACGAATAATGCATACCTTTGCCCACTTTTCTTTCACATTTAGTATAAAATAATAGTAGAAATGCCCGAAATACCATCCCTTGCGATCTTCCATCTTGGGGTTCCTTTAGCAATAACTTAATACCTAAAATACACTTATAGCAATTCTAACTAAACTAAACAATTTCTTTTTTCAACAGAAACACCATCAACTCCTATGTAGGGTTTTTAGACCTCTAGCTTGACCCAGTGGGGATTGAACTCCCCAACCTAAATAATGAGTACAATTAGGAGATGGATGTGAAAACCTCACCCCCAAAAATTTACAACTGAAGGTGTCTATCACAATTTTAAGAAGACCTACTACATCTTCTACAAATACCTTGTGTATCATTCAAAAGATTATTTGACTAATTTCCGACATATAATCTAATCTAAATGGCCACGAATATGAGGACTGCTTTGTCTATCGCTTACAAGGAATGCTTTTAATTCTTTCAAAAGTTCATTTACTCCAGAATCATCCTTGTGTATTCAGCCCTTCAATAGCAAGCCAGTCCGCTATTTGATTCCCTTCACAATACAACGATCTTCATGCCCAGTTTGTACCTCGGTCAAGTCGTTGAAACCCAACTTCATCTTCATGGTCGACAAATCTACCTGAGTAGTTACCCCTCAATCATTCCCTTCATTTCCTTAGGAGATGAAAGTGATTCTGCACATATAGAGAAAAAACTTGAGGAACAACATACCAATAGTTGATAATCCTGTCTAACTTGTACTCTTGCTCACCATTGAGTGAGGAATGAGAAGTAATAGTCCCCCAATACACCTTTTAACCTTTCTTTTCTTAGAACGAGGCCTACTATTATAAACCAAAAGCCAGATCAGAATTCATTCTGGCATAAACAACTCTCTAATATCATCTTAATACAATCCGAATTAGGGAGCAGCCAATTTATTAAAATGAGAATTAAGACCTCCTATTTATCTGTGATTCAAAAAAATTACTTAGAAACTTCCTCTTGACGTCTATTTGAGTCTCTCTCTCACAGTGGTAATTGTTTGTCAATTTTATACACCAAAAGTGTACTGATGGAATAAGTAATATAGTGCAGCAATGAGTCCGAATGATCGTTTCTACGAGGACTATTATTTAATAATTAATTTACTATTTCTAAATCAAAAATAATGAAAAACAATGAAGATGTTTGTGATTGATTATTTAAATTAATTACATTATACTAATGCTATATAACGAGCACAATTTATAAAATTCGGATTTTAAAGTAAGAATGTGAATGTTAGGACTTACAATTTCACTTTATGGATCCACTTTAATTCGCTATCAAGATTCATGACTATTGTAGTGTTTAATCGAATTCTTCTAACATATTCAATTTACCCCTCTCTCGAGTTCAAATTGATTCTATTTAACTAAATCAATTACATATTTCTGTGTAAATCATGATATACCTTAGTTAAACGTCCTAAATCTCTGAGAATCCACGTAATAATCAATAGTGTCTAGATAACGTATATCTACACTTCTATACTACTTCCCGAATTTTACCATGCACATTAAACCTATACTCACATCTCGAATCGTTATAGGCCCACAAGATCATTGAATTATTGGCCTAGTAATTCAAAACGTTAAATACCATAGATAAAATCAATACGTATAAAATTTTAACTACTAGGATCTTGAAAATTAAATTAAAGGATAAATTACATTGTTTGTCATAACTAATGATCTAGTTACTCATATTAATGAAAGAAAATCAATAACAAAGTATAGAGTTCATAACCAAATTTTTAAATCTTTATGATGGAAAGAATTGAATTTTGTACCAAAAATCCTTTTCAATTTTAAAAGTCTTCAAACCCTAGTTTTTTGATTTTGATGATTATATATATATTTTTCTCTCTCTAAAATTATGTGTTTCATAGGAAGAAAGAATGATAATTAAGAGTTGTGCTACATGTATATAATGATTTACATAATGATTTGCATACATATGGTGTGAAGAATAATGATTGGATCAAATTTCTTCAAGTAAATAAAAGAAAAAACGTCATCACTCTTTTTTTAACACTTCATTTATATGTAAAACATTATATATACACACACATACTACAAAAAGCGTCATTTATCATCCACCATGTGAAATTTGAGTTTAAACAGGAAACCAATGAAAGTTGAATTTTTTTATGGTTAAATGTACTTTAGTCCTCCACTCCACATTACGCCCATATTTGATGGTCTTTAATTAAAAACTCTTTTTTCTATATACTCATTTTCAATCATACATTCACATTCATACAATAAATATTATGTAGATAAATTCAAAACTTTTTGCAACTTTTTAACTATACATTTTTCAAAAAATTACTATTCAAAACATTTTTTTCCCCAATAATGGCCATTAAACATGAGCTAAGTTCTTGTACATCCCAAATCTTCTTTATTTACATGGAATGTCCTCATCTTCAAGATTTGATTATTTTAGTCCACAATTCTACAATTTTTAAATGCTTCAATCCAATTTCATCCAAACTTGTCCATTTTGATTTTTACCTAAATTAATCATAAATTAAGTAGATATTCGCTCAATATAATAATAAATAAATAAAAATTGAAGCACGAATAAACGCATAAAATGCAATTATTAGTAATAAAGTGGTCAGTAGGGGCGGATCCAGCACCTGACGAGCCGGGGAGGCTGCCCATCTTGGATTCGTCGAGAAAAAATATTAAATGAAGATTTTATATTAAATATATATAAACTTTAGTGCATAAATGATGCAGGACAAGCAATGTAGCTCAAATGGTTGAGTGCTTACAATCCATGGGAGATAATTGGTCTTCGAATTCTTCATTGACATTCTTTCTTTTAATGTTTTGACAAATAATAAATAAATAAAAACTATACCAATTTTTAACCAATAAAGGGTGTTTTGAATCCAATCACTTCCTCTCCTTCTTTTAATATTTTTTAACAAATTAAATTGAAAACAAAAACAATTATATATTATTAGTTTTCATTTCCGAAATATCTTTTTTTAAGAAATTTATTTACTCAAATTATTATTTCATAATATATACTTTTAGAATTAGATTTTATTAATTTATTTTGTAAAATTATAAATTAAAACTAAATAATTATATATTATTAGTTTTCGTTTCCGAAATTTCTTTTTAAAGAAATTTATTGACTCAAATTATTATTTCATAATATATACTTTTATTATTATATTTTATCAATTTATTTTGTAAAATTAAATTTGGACAATTTAAGTACTCTTTTTTTTTTTTCTTTTAAGAGTCCGAAAAACATTAAGTCAAAAATAGTTCTAATTCTAAAAATTATTGTTTTAAATTTTTTGCATAAACTTCGCTTAAACTCATGTTTGTCTTTTTGGTTTAATCATATTTTAAGTATAAACTTTGTCTTGTCTAGTTTAAATTCGTAAAAACTTGAAACTTGATCATCCATATATAATTGACAAATGTATTTTTTAAAAATTATTTTGGGTTGTGTTGAATTATATATATATATGACTTTTACGGTTGAATTATGCTATTTGTACAATGTTTTTGTACAACATTGTTGACAATGTTGGTTGTGGCAAAAAAGTATTGGTTGAAACAATGAATTGTTTTTTAAACTGCCAAATGATAATATGTCACGTGGCATGTTGTCAACAGTGACGTCAAAATCATTGTACATCAAACATTGTTCTTTACGGTTTAGTACATTTATATATTAATTGAATTTTTTTAAATATTATTTAATTAAATATTAGTAAATAATCTTGTTATTGCGATGGTTAACTGTCGCCCTAGCTAGCTCAATATCCTGAATCCGCCACTGGTGGTCAGTATCAAACCCTTCAATGGTTTTTACTTCCTCATCAGTACAACTTCAAAAATTCAGCCCATTTGAATTTTCAAATTTTTGAATATAGGGAAACTCAAGTGAATCTAAAAATTGGAAATCGATTATTCAGCCCATATACGGTATGTTATTGCTTACGAAACATGTATCGAAAGGAAAGAGAAGAATCTAGGTTCAAACTTGAGCCAATACATACATAAACTTCCATTTGAAAAACCAAGGATGGATATATAACATAGAGAGCATTGTCACAATTATTGAATCCTAAGCCTTCAAACAGAATCACAATTATTCATGCAAACAAACAAACTGGCAAGATCCTTCTAATATTACAATAAAAAAGATGCAGGTTGGTCTAGGAGAAAAAAAGGACTTCCACTCCATTTTGTTTGCAGTTGATACACGGTGAACAGGATTACAAGGATGAAGAACAGAGAAGGCTCGATGTGTCATTCCCAAGCTCCCCATTGGCAGCTGTAACTGTTCGAGAGTAGCAACTATTATCATCCTCATAAGTGTAACTCTGTTGAGTAGTTGCTGCACCAGAGAGGACATCATGATCCCGGACAAACATCCACCCACTGCATTGTTGACTGTTAACCAAAGAGCTCGAAAATTCCTCATTCAACTTCTCCTCTTTGAAGGAATGCTCAAGATTTGTGTTCATCAAATAAGTATTCTTCGCTGATCCAGCCAAAGTTGAAGTAGTGATTTTCAGGGAATACTTTCTCTTCATGGTGGTGAGCGAAATCAAGGTACCTGTATTGGACTCGACTCTTAATTCTATTTTAACCTTCACTTGCTGCTTCACGACCTTCTGAGTTCCATTATTGTTGAACTTTATCGTGTTCTCAAACTTCAACTTTTGATTAACAAAGGTAGTCAAATTTCCAATATTCGAATTCACCCACCCGGTATACTCACTCTTCCTCTTCCCTTCAATCTCAAAGGATCCATCAAGCTGGTTGAACTTCGAATCAAGCTCCAATTTAATACTTGGAACACTGTATTCAATGGCCATGGCCTGAACTTCTTTCAAATTATCATCCAACCATAAATGCAGATTCGCATCAACAAGCCAGAACGAGATAGCATCAGCTACTTTAAACCCGAAACCATGCACCTTCCCATCAAGTAAGATCTCCAAAAATGGGGTCAAAACAATATCGTAGGAAGGCAAATCAAACGCCCCAATTGAAACTATTGGCTCCCAAAACAGAGGATTAATGCCGCCTGTAAAAATCACTGGGAATGGGATCACTGATCCAACAACAGTATCATCAAGGGTCACCAATACTTCCCGGTAAGCACCATGGCCTTGCTTTGTATTCAAATTGTTCATTTCTATATAAGAATTCGGGGGATTCGAGTACCAACACTCGTCATTCCCATGAAATGAAACATAAACCTCAATCACAGCCTTGTATGTATTAGATGGAATTTGAATTCCCATGGACTTCACGTCGGAATCATTCTCGATCTTGAACCAAAACCCTTCATCTCCATTTCCAGATACCGGTATTATCAAATCCGCAGGCTTTTTATATAAATCCAATGAGTTGTCCTCACGATCTAACGAAGAAATTAATGGGTTTTTTCTCCGTTTTATGACATTTGATTTTTGGTTAAGTGGAAATGAAGACAAGAGGATATTACCGTCGTCGGTGTTGGTTTCGTTACTATGAGTGTCATAGTACAAGAAGGTAAGTTTCAGCTGGTATACGTCGGAATTGACGTCATTAACGACGTTTTCGAGCAAGACGGAGAGGGTGAGGTTTTCTTGACGGAGGAGCGAGGAATACCTGGTAATGTCCTTGTGAACGTTCCAGAAGACGCCATCTGCGGACGGCTGAGGGGTGGAGGTGCGGAGGAGCTCAGCGCCGTCAAGCCACACTCCGGCAATTCGATCATAGTGGGATCCATTAGAGGCGACGCTGAGGTGGAGGGTCACGACGGCAATTCGATCATAGTGGGAACCTTTAGAGGCGACGCTGAGGTGGAGGGTCACGTTCGACCAAGTGCAGTTCTCCGGAGGAGAGTAGTCAGCGGTAGCCGGCAGCAGGCCAATGGCGTTGTTGAAGTCGTGGGAGAAGACTGGGAGTGTGCATGATGGGATCAGGGTATCAAATGGCAGAGGGCGTGTCATTTCAAAGTATTGTTTGTATGAATCTGATTTTTTGTCATTTTTGAGATGATAATTGTGTTTGGTGAGGTGGGATTGGTGTCGTAGTGGTGGTGCAGCTGCGGCGGCGGAGGAGGAAATTTGATTTAAAAAGGTAAGTAAGAAGAGAATGAGAAGCGGAGGTAACATTTTCCGGTGGTGGCGGAGTTTAATGATAATCTGCTGAGGTTTTCACCAAAACTGATTTACAAATTGTAAATTGGATTAGGCCTTAATATATATAATAATGTTATCTAGTTAAGTGGTCCTAGCTAGAGCATCAAATTAGATGATACAGTCCCGTTCTCCTGCCCGCGACGGGCAAGCTTATAATGCCTACTCGGAAAGAACCCAACGTGGGGTTCTCACATTTGGAGAGAACCCCACGTAGGGTTCTCCTGCCACATCAGCAGG